AAAAGAAGACAAAAAAAAGGCAGCCAGCCGTACCGACACCTTGATCCTGGACTTCTGGCTTCCAGAACCATGAGACAATAAATGTCCACCATTTCAGCCACCCAGTCTGTGGTGTCGGTTACAGCAGCCTGAGCTGACTAACAGACCAGGCCCTGGTCCATCTCCTCCGCTGACCCTGGGGAGCAGCGATGCCCCTGGCTGCCAGGGGCCTTCTGACAAAGAGCTCGTGGGTCCAGCGGAGTCTCAGGCCTCGTCCAGGCCAGCCCTGGGCGCCCCCACAACAGCACAGCTGCTACTCACCTCAGCCCTGCTCATCCACTGCCCTTGCTGCCCGGGGTGCCCTCGGGCCCTGCTTCTGACCTCCCAGGAGCTGGGTGCAGGACACGAGGGCCCAGAGACCAGTAAGGCTGAGGGTCCATCAAGGCCATCACGTCCTACAGTGGAGGAGGTGGTCTCACCAAGGATGCTGTCAGGGCTGCGGATGCCTCCGGAGGTGGTGAGCACCTGCGCTGGGCGTGTCCGGGCAGCAAGGACCACAGGTCACTGTCTGGGAGCAATGCTGGTGGGTGGCCCAGAGTCTCCCAGCCCTCTGTCCAGGTCCTGTCCCCACAGGACCATCACGAGGGCCCCAGGGAACAGGCTCCACGCAGAGGCTCCCAAGACACAAAGCAGCCCCGCCCTGGTGGCTGCCCGCCTCAATCCCCGTGAAGAGGTGCTGGGTCCTACACACTGACCACCACCCTCAGGACAGCCCTGCGAGGGGCCCGAGCACACCCATTTCAGAGGTGCAAACACTGCGGCTTGGGAAGTGCAGCTCGCCCACAGCCCCTCAGTAGCGGTGCGGGGACAAAGCTGCTCAGAGACCACACAGAGGGAAAGGGCAGGAGAGGGGACGGGGCGGGTGAAGCCAGTAGGGGGACCTCAGCCCTGCCTCCCCACCCAGGAGGGGGTCTCCCGCCTGCCTCCCACCTCACTCCCCACACTCCAGGTGTCCAGGCTGTCAGCCATCAGCTGATTAATCACTCTTAAATGGCAGCCCCACACTGAAGGAGGCTGATGGGGGCTGGCGGTGGGGAGCCAATTAACCTGAATTACGCTCTTGATTGGGGCCCAATTAGTGTCAGCTGCATGGGGTCAGAAGCAGTCCTGGCGCAGTAATTGTTGAATTGATTCCCTGGCTGGGAAGAGCTGCACCTTCCCAGCCCCAGCACGGGATGCCCGCTGGCTTCCCGCCACTTCCGTGAGGCTGCGGCCTCCCCCTGGCCTGGCCTAGCCCACTCCCTCTGTGAGAAGGGGTGGCTATGTGATGGTTTGGGAAAGGGGCTTGCTCGGCACGTCCCAGCCCTGCAGGGCCTTCCCACATGTCCCTCCCTCTGCCTCTGCAGCTCTTCACTCAGAGAACTCCTCCTCACTCTTTAAAACCCAACTCCAGCATCACCGCCTCCAGGATGGCCTCCCAGGTGCTCCCTGGCTGCAATGGGAGCTGTCTCTGGGGTGCCTGGCCCTGCTTCCCTGTGCACCAAACTTGCCTCCTTCCCTCTACACCTGTTGAAGGTGACCATGACCCTCAGGAGGATTGCTGCCCCGAGCTCAGCAGGACTTAGTGGAAGCAAGATGCCCAAGAGGAGCAAAGCAGCCATCCCAGCCATGGGGTCCGGGAAGGGGCTCTGCGCACACAGCCCTCAGGCCTCCACAGGCTCGTGCCCACAGTGAGGAAGGGTGGACACTGGCTGTCAGTCCAATGCGCTCACCCGCGTGCTGCCCTCTGCCTGTTCCCGCTTCCCCTAGAATGAGGGCCCAGGGTGTGCACCCCAGCAAAGACAGCAAGAGCGAGGCACAAGGTCTGGAGGCTGTTGGAGGTGATCCTGGCTGAGCAGGGCAAGGAGGTGACCCCCGGGGCCTGCAAGGGCCCGGCCACAGTGAGAAGCAAGACCCTGGCTCCCAGAATACCGGACAAGCAGGGCCTCTGAGGCAGTGGAGGACAGGAGGACGCCGGCTTAAAGTGCTGACACCCGCTCCCAGGCTCCTCCCCGGCCCCGGGGACAAGGGCTGTTCTCTGGAGGAATTCTCTGAGACACTGGGCTCTGGGACTCCAGGCCCAGTGAGGGGAGCAGAAGCTGGGGCTCAGAGCAGGGCTCGGGGTAGAGTCAGCAGCGCCGGCCCTGAGGCCCGCAGGGAGAGATTTCTCCAAAGACCCAGCTGGCCCAGGGAAGCCGCGACCCCAGTAAAGTTCACAATGGCTCACACTTCTCGAAGCCCCTTCCAGCCAGCACGTTAGCGCCCCAGCCCTAAGTACACGCAGACATCAGGGACCCCAGATAGTTGCAGTGTACCCGTTGCAAAGGACAGAAAACAAAACAAACACAGAAACTCAAAGACAGAGTCAGTGCAGGGCATAGAAGGGAAGTTCCGACAAGTAACACAGTCCTGGGAGAGCAAAGCAAGCAGTGCCGGCGGAGTCCCGCGGGACAGGCCCCAGGGGAGGGGCCTGGGTGGTGGGTGTGAGAGGGCCCTCCAGGCCCCCAGCCCCTCCAGGCCCGCCCCCTACACCCGCCTGCTGCATCTGCACCCCAAGATGGCACCAGTGGAGTGGCCGAAGGAGAGGCCCCAGCCCCACAGCCCTGCACTGGGGATGGGCCTGGTGGGAGTGGGGTGCGGAGGCCCCGGAGCAGCTCTGGGGTGGGACGTGCAGGCCCTGCCCTCCGCCCCCTCCCTGTCCCCTCTGGCCCCACTGGTTGCCCGGCCTGGACTGACCCCGCCAACTGCTCTTTGACTCCTCAGCCATAGCAAAGTCGTGGCCATGGCAGGCAGGGCAGGAAGTGACCTAGTGACGACCATGGCTGCACAGTGCACGCTGCACAGGCCCACGCATCCCCCAGACACACCAGAGGGGAAGCAACTCAACCGTACCCGTGGCAGGACCTCAGCCTGTCCTGGAAGCCCCCATCCCCGCCCCCTCTTCTATGCATTCCCCCACCCCCGCCACCAGAGACTGGCCTGTGCCTGGCTCCTCTGTCACACCAGCCCCTCTGAGCTGTTTCGGGCAGTCACCTCCCCTCTCTGAGCCCCAGTTTCCTCATGTGACAACCGGGGACAATGACACCACTCCCCATGGGTTCTCTGAAGGTGGATGCCCCTCCTGGACCCGGCACGGCTCATTTCTCTGTCCCTTTGGCCTCCAGTTCAAGGGCAGCCCCGTCACAGGGGTCCCAGGCCAGCAGGGCCCGCATACAGTAGGTGCTCACAGAAGCACGAGCCTCTTCCAGGGCCCAGGGCTGGAGGCCGGAGGCCCAACATGTGCTGAGCCATCATGCCAGCCCTGTGGGCCCTTCTGGACTCGCTGTGCTGTGATGAGTGGGCCAGATGGGCTCGGGCCCTGGAATCCCCTGTCTCCAGCAGATAGGGCTCTGTGGGGGAGGACGGAAGGAGGGGCGGGGTGGGAGGGGTGAGGGCATTTGAGCATCAAGTGCCAGCTTGGGACTCAGTGGGACCAACACCCACTCTACTCCCTCCCCCGCCCCGGCTGCCACCATCTGCAGGGGCCCTGGGGGCTGGTCCCCCAGGCCCTGGGGAGCAGGAAGCCCAGAGAAGGGCGGTGACTCACCCAGGGGCTCCCAGCGGGACTCCTGGGGCCACGTGGTCTCTGTTGTCCTGTCTCGACCCCTCTCCCCACCAGCCCCTTCCCTCTGACCCTTGGGCACCCTCGTCCCCTCCTCAGAAGCCGTTGGGCTTTCACCCGCTTCCCCAGAAGCTGCTTCTCAAACAAATATATTCAGAATAAATGACATTTCAGAAACATCTATTTGTATATATTTAGACTCCATTTCAAAAGAATTATTCAAAATCGGAGCCATTTGGATGGATGGGTGTGGAACGGATTGTTTCTTAAGTGTTAGCATCAAAAATACCATGTTTTCTAAGTGGATTACAAATGCTGTAATTATTGAAATGGGCACATTCAGCTGGGGGAAAATTTCAGAATTATGACTTGATTTAGGGATCCTGTGTCCTAAGACAGGGCCTCGGGGGCACGCACCCCGAGGCTGGAGCCCGAGGGCGGCGGAGAGCTCTGGGCTTGTCTGCTGCTCCATCCAGAAGCTGAGGCCCCCTAGGCCAAGCCAGGTCCTGCACGGGCCGCAGGCCTGTCCCTCCAGGGCCTGAACTGTCCTTGTCCACCCTCCAGCTGGCTCAAGGCCTGACCACAAGGCTGGGTCCAGTACCCCCGGGGCCAGAGCCCCACCCCGTGCCTGCCCCGCTCCCTGATGAGGACGAGCTGCCCTGCCCTCCCCTCCCCTCCCCGACCATGACTTCTGGTTGCAGGGCGTGGCTGGGCCAGGCCTGGCACCCCACCCTGGGCAGTGTTGCCGGTGGGGACAGAGGAGGGCCGGGAGCCGGACCCCAGGCACTGGCTGTGAAATGGGCCAGGTGACCGACCTCGGGGGTGCCCAGGGGCACAGTATCTGCCACATGCCAGACCCAAAGCAGGCTCCCTACTAGTCAGCAGCTCAAACAGAAGGTCATGCTGGTGAGTTAAGCCCAGCCTTTGTCCTCCTGCCGGTGGAGGCCACGCTGCCGGTCAGCTCGGCTGAGATGCAAAGGCGGCTGAACCAAGCCAGCGCCAGGCCTGGGCCAGGCTCTTCCTGACACTTTGGTGG